ATTGCTCCTCTCATTCCCGCGGCTCCCGCGGCTCTTGCTACCGCTCCTGCAACAACACCACCCCAAATGGTAAGTGTTTCCCATCTCAAATACCCGACTTCGATCTAACGGATAACCCACCAGCCTGGAAATCTGTTCTCGATTGGTCTTATCAACACGAACTTAGGCGTCCCACCAGCTCCAGTTAGTATCCTTCCCTTCTACGAATCTGATACGCAGAATATCTAACAGATATCTACGCGACCTAGAATCCCGGCCAAGGTGATAAGCCCTGTATCTGTCCGGCTGCAGGATGCACGAATGCCTACGCTAATATTCGCTCGTACCGGGTCCACTACAACATCAAGCACTTCGTCAAGATCTGGCAGTGTCGATGGTGCCCATGGAACCAGGTCCAGTACCGTCGCAGCGATGTCATGGCTCACTTTCTCAAAAAGAACGCTGAGGACGCCGCCGCTGGTCGTATTCGATCGCACCCACAATGATCGCATCCCGAGTTGACTCGCACATCACATACGCACACTTTAGTAGTTGGTTTGGGACTTGCTGGAGTCATCTCTTTGGGTTCGGTTGGGGAGTGGTTCTGCAACGGATGAGAATGGGTGCTGCTGAGATTTCGCAATCGCGGATCGATGTTGGCCGTGATTGAGGACTTCTCTCACAAAGTGCGAAGAGCAAATAATTAGTTAGTCAGCCTTCAATGAAGAATCATTTCTGGCGAACTCGACACCGGGATATACTGAAAGGTGAGATGCATATTTGTGCCAACGGAAAGGCTACTGAATGACGATATCCCTCACGTCTCCCATACCAGCCCTCATCACCTCTTAGTACATCAGGCCATGCAAGTAGCATCTCCTAACGAGTTGGAACTTCCTATCCAGTCTCCTCGTTCCAACAGGTCGTAGTATGAACGAGGTCCTCGTGTCTATGATTCCCCCAACATGGTGTGACTGTCGTCCATCTCAGTAGTGAGCGGTACGAGAGCAAGCCTGCCGCTTCTAGTACCTGTCATTACCACGCCTGGCACCGCGGTGAGTTGCTAGGTATACTCACGAGCTTGTCTTAGGCTAAAGCTACAAAAAAAAACACACCATTGTATTTTGGGACCCATGATGGGATGGCAAGTCGGCGGGAACTTCGGAGCCCAGGTCCTCGACAAGTGCTCTGTAATCAGGCCGTAGCTCTTCAACCCTAAAGTCGGGAACCGAGGTTTTGTAGCCTCAGAACCTGTTGCAGATCAAAACTTTGCATCTGACGCATACCCAAGAAAACTTGACTCTCTGGCCCAAAAGGCCTCACGATCATGGGTATCGACACAGCCTCTCATACCCAATCGATCTAGCATCTTGAATACATCGCATCCCATTGATCGTTGGATCTGATGCATATGTTACCACCATCAATATCGATTCGATCCATAGCAAGTAATACTTCTTAAAGAGTCCGTACCCGCAGAACCATAGACAGTCGCGGAGGTGGCCCCAAGTGCATTCCACTATTCCACACGTTATCATTGCAAGTTCAGTTGCCTTGAAGAGCGAATGTGAAGTACAAAATTCGCAAACCTTCTCTTCCGGACCCCGAATAAGAGCGCAAACCCTCTTACCTGGCCAAGTCGTTTGTTAACTCCGCAATCGTCTTTATCTTTGAATTCACCCTCCAGAAAAGGCCTGTCAAGAAATCTCGTCGCTCATCGCTCATTGTCTTCTTCTACTCCTTCTCAGAGCCAAATATAGAGACGAGATGTATGCAGTGGAGTGGACTAGAGTAGATGCTGGTCATCAACCATGTCTGCCGAACTTTCACTTCGTTTCATTTTAATTGCTACACACGGCGGCGTCGATCCATATCCAAATTATTTGTGCATAACGTAGAGGTATTGGGAGGAGGTCATAAAGACTTTCAGTTATTTTTTAAGTCTTGTGCCTAAGTATGATAGGCGTACCAAGCGCCGAAACAACAGTTGAAGACCTCCGGATACAAAAGTCGATATGGACTAAAGTATATACGGAGAGGAAGGAGACAAAACGATTGAGAAACATCAGATATCTCAACAACGAATAGGAGCTCAGATTCTTTTGGCAACGCTGATTACTGCCTGGGAAATTTGACTGTTGAATTCTCACATCGAACACTGTCTCTTTCTTAGCGAAATCGCCGTCAGACGTCCAGGAGTGAGCTGGAATTAAATCGACGTGCCGATAGTAGCTTCAGATATCGATATTGTTTTTATTTTTACTTTTTCTAAGTGACGCCCAGGCCCTCGCGGTCTATGAGTGCGCGGCGGCAATGTCTCCTAATCATAACAGCGCTCTATCTTCTAGATCTTAACGCATCGGAAGGACCCAAACGCACCCGGCTGCACACACCCAACTTGACAGGATTAAAATGCACCCCGCACACCTCCTTTCCCGCCAACTTCTCTACAAGTGAGTGTGACTGACGCATCACCCGCAACGTTGAGCATGACCTCGACCTTACCGCCCTTCTTTACGCCCTTGATGGCAGCCTCGGCTAGCACATTGCCAACCTTCCAGACCTTCTCCCGGATCTCCTCTGGCTCCTCGTCACTCTCGTCATCGCTATCATCGTCACTCCCGTCTTTCTCGCTATCGGCCTTGGGCTTGGGCTCGGCCTTGGAAACTTTGATGGAAGATCCTCCTTCGACGACCTTGATCAATACGTCTCCACCTTCCTTGGGTGCGTTGATGTGGATCGTGCGGCGAGCGGGCATCGCGGTCTCGGCGGAGATGATGGGAGTAAAGACACCTTTGCTGACATCCTCGGTGATAGCCAAGACACCGATCGCGTTGCTAAGGTGCTTGACGGTAGTAACTGCGGCGTGAGTAGATTGATCGATATCCTCCTTTTCGTATTCTTGGATAAGACTGGCTTGGAGAGCAGCTCCTCGTGCTTGGAGCTCAGCTGGGTTAATGGCACTAGGTGTGGTAGATGGAGCGAGAATGGTGGTAGTCGACGGGAAGATGTTGGCCATGTTCGAGGCAATCTTGGGAGTGTGGGAAGTTCCACCAGAAAGTATAACTTCGTCAATGTCCAAAACGTCAAGACCAGCCTTCTCCACGACACCCTCGATAAGGCGGTTAAAACCATCAAAGACCTTGCGGGCAATGGTCTCATAACGCAGCCTGTTGATGGTGGATGAGAAATCGGCTCCTTCCGCTAAACTCTCGACACTGAAGTTGGCGTTGGTTCCGATACTGAGGGCTCTCTTCGTGGCCTCGGCTTCCAACTTCAGCTTGGCCAGGCTGCGAGCGTTCTCCCGGGGATCAGTAGTATTCCACTTGATGAACTCCTTGGCGAAATGGTCTTGCAGAACTTTGTCCAAGTGTACACCAGCGGTATCGTAGTCGTGGGCGGTTGCTAAGATGGTATACATCCCTCCCCGAGAAGCAACAACGGCTACATCTGATCGGGTTCCTCCCAAGTCGGCAACGACCACAATCTTGTCGGAAATCTTCGATTCTGGGCGGGCATCGTACGCGAGAATGGCAGCAGTGGGCTCGTGAATGAGTTGGAGAACCTCGAGTCCAGCATCGGTGGCAGCTTTTGTCAGAGCAGCCTTCTGCTTCTCGCTGAAGTTGGTGGGGATTGTGATAACGGCCGAGTTGACTTGCTTTCCTGTATAGTCGGAGGCAGATTGGATGAGCCGACGGAAGTGACGAGTGGCAACCTCTGAGATGGTAACCGTGGACTCCTCCTCTCCCTCCTTGTCGTGAATCTTGAATGCGACGGTGTCCCCATGAGCTTCGGGGTGAGCAGAGGCGTGGCTGTGGGTGGGATCTATCGACTTGAAACTATTCACAGTGTTAACACTAATATGTACCAAAGCCAAAGGCATATCCTACTCTTGTCCCAAGTAATCTCTGAAGTATGCGACGGTGTTCTTGCTGTTACGGATCAATTGTGCCTTGGCTTGCTGGCCAGTATATTCCTCGCCGGCGACATATGACAAGATAGATGGAATTTGACGGTCTACGAGTAAAGTCAACTCCAATTTTTCCACCCCAGATAGTTCCTGGACGACATACCTCCATCCTCATTGGCGATAACCTCAGCCTTGTCCTCGATGGTGGTGTATGCGATCGAGCTGTTGGAGTTTCCAAAGGAGATTCCAATGGCATGGCGCTCTGATGGCGTAGGGCCGTTTGTTGGTGTTCCTTCAGCAGCCATTGTAAGATATTCAATACCGGGTTCGAGAGAAGTTTGAGTGGTCTCGGAGGTGGATGTTAGAATCAACGACGTAGGTATTCCCAAAGTTTTTACACACACATCGATAAATTTCACTAGCGCCGACTGGAAGCTTTTGCCCCACTTTCCGCAAGGCTGAGGGTCGACCTCAAGTCTCAAGCCCGGCTTGCGGATACCCTCAAAATTACCAAAAGAAGCACATTTCGAAGAGCATTCATGGCGACGCAAACATTTGTTCTTCCAGGCCAACATCTGGATCCGGAAAGCCTTCCTTCGCATCCAAAACTGCCTCTCAAGCTCGGCCCTGGACTGAGACTGCTCCCGCCAAGCACCATCACGCCCACAGTCGCAGGACATCTATGTACAGATGCGAGGAAAAATGCGGTGTGGGTAGAGTTCAATGGCGGTCGCGTATAGTACACCTCCCATACGCATCTGTTCTTTAGCTAATAGACTTCCAGTATATCCCGACAGTCGGTGATCTTGTCATAGCAACGGTACAAAAACACTCGGTTGATGTTTACTTCGTCAGTCTTAGTGACTACATGCCGAACGCCTCTCTTCCGCAATTGTCCTTTGAAGGAGCGACCAAGAAGACAAGACCGCAACTGGGCTACGGATCACTTGTGTATGCGCGGGTGACGTTGGCCAACAAGCATATGGACCCTGAGCTGGAATGCGTTTCTTCATCAACTGGAAAGTCGGAAGGCTTGGGGCCGCTGACTGGGGGGATGCTCTTCGCGATATCATTAGGCATGGCTAGAAGACTAATGCTATCAAAGCCAGGGGAGCAAGGTAATCTGGTAGTATTGGAAGAGATTGGAGGAGCCGGTGTACCATTCGAAGTTGCAGTTGGGAGAAACGGGAAGTTGTGGGTAGACAGCAAGAGCGTGAAGGCTACGTTGGCTATCGGGAAGGCCGTTCAAGAAACCGATGAGAAGGGCTTGAATGTCGAGGCACAGAAAAAGCTGGCGAGGAAGCTGGCTAGGGATTTGTGAGACCGAGGTTGGAGTTTCGTGGCAAATGCATTGCACTGGCGTCTGGGAGATATCCACGGCATAGATTAAATGGCATGGTCTATGCCTCGAAAAGCCTATGGACGAGGGTATTCATGGATGGTTGTCTGAGTTTTTAGGAGACAATCAACGAACATGATCTTCGGTTACGAGATGGGCGATGCTTGGAGTCTCTGCTATTACCCCTGGAAGGGTACCATCTGTCGAGAAGCGGAAGGGTAGGCCAACTTTCTGAAGTGTCTGGCATGTGTATTTATTGGAACATCCACCACAAGTCATGGGCCATTTCCAGTAATCGAACTCGGCGAACGAGCCCCCATCGGCCGAGGCTTGATAACAAGCGTTACTCATTCGGCCTTGTCGCCCTTCCTTCTTCCATCACTTTATTTCTAAGTTATTGGACCCTTATTTTCTCTGTAATTATGTTGATACTGTTCATCAATGGGGTTGTACAGGAAGGTTCGAGATTGTCACAGGATCATTCCTCAGACCATAGAGTCTTTCTCCCTTTACTATCCTCGAATTCTCTAAGATCTAGAGAAGGCTGCCATTTACCTAACTGAAAATCAGAACGGGCAAAAGTTATCGCAATCAATGGACCTCAAGACATTACACGTACCTGCCAGTATCGATCGATATATGGAAACTTATCGACTGCGAGGTACAGCAAGATGTAGGCAGCCCATTTAGCAAGAGAATGCGTTACGCACATTGCGCAATAAATGGTCCAACTCACTTTCCAAAAGTCGTCAAGTACAGGATATAGGGACAGTTCCCTTGGATATCCCAGATTACCTGGCCTGTCACTGCAGCAAGCGTTTCGTAGTGCTAACGTTACGCCCAGCCACCAAGACCGCCACCTTATTCCTTCATAATGATTTGCTCTCGATATGGCTCTGCGATATCCACGCCGTTTTATCTACACGGAGACACGAAGTCATTGACTAGGAGAGCACTAGCCGCAATAGACGATGAGCTAGTGGCATGCCCAGTTGTGAAGGATACCTATAGAGATGTGGGAGAAGGTCGGGTTCGGTATTTGAAAAGTGTAGGTAGCCATTTTGGATCTTATGATTGCCGCAGAGAGTGCCCTCATCTCCAGGTCATCGAATGTTACTTTGTTATGCTTTTTCAGTAAATGCCTTCTACGTGTACAGCACGCCATGCAAAGCATCAGCAATCATGACCAAGCCGCTTTTGCATTGAGAGCTGTCATGCTGTTTTGAGAGTCAGCTGCTGGGAGCTCGCCCATGTTATTAACGCTTGCGTTCCTAGCCACTACTCTTCTTCAGTCGGTTACAAACTTGTTTTATGTCCAGCTTCTTGACAAGCGAGTTGCTGCTGATTTTGGCGAAAGTGGCCACGTCGAAAGGGGCCGCGACAACAAAATAGAAGAGGGCGGTGCCTATTTCAGTGCTTACAAGACAGCCTGCATATTCTGAGCCGAAGTTGTTAAGAATCGTTGGTGTCTTGACGGATGCGGCTGGATCGATGAGTTCAATGATGGGAGCGCCCATCCGAGTGACTTGCAATTGCCCATTTGCGCGAACCGAGAGGCTCCCACGTCATGTTCTAGGAACATCGGCCTCTACAAAACGATAAAATCAGCGATTCACATGTAGAATGTTCCGGGGAGATGACGAGGCCTCTTACCGATACCCTAAACCCAAATACTTGAAGGAGATTGTGTTGACAGTGAGGGATGGCAAACTTTTTCGACATTCGATCTGCGCTCTTGACAGATTTCCACTAACCGTTGCCGTAGGTTCTTCAGTGTTTCTTATGGATTATTAACCCTTTGGAGTACTCGTAAAGAAAGGTGTTAAAATGCCTAGGCGGGATGTAAATAGATAGCTGTGTAAGCGAGAACGGGTTATGAAGGGGCTTGCCGAAATCTTCAAGAGTTACCTAGCAAAGCGCTGTTGTATAATGAGAACGAGAAGCACCAGATATTCTAGCCCTTCCATCTGTCTTGGAGGTTTAATTTAATTTTATCGAGCTGAAAGGACAAGGAGTTCTGAGACGACGTTCGAAGACTGTCGTTAGCGTAAAATTGCCGAGTCAGAAGGTTCGCTCAACAGCGGGGTGTCGAACTCTTCTGAGATCATATCCTAGTAATATGTATTCGTCGCTGGAAGTAATGAGAAATGACAGCAAATATCCAGCAGCTAGTCACTGGATGTGGTGGGAATCTTTTTCCAGCTATGTATCTATTCTCTTGCCAGGAAAGTCAAAAGAAACGAGAAGACCGAGAGGAGGTGGATCAACATTAGACCAGAGTCAGCGTTTATAAATAACCTTAGCAGTATGATATCGTATTTTCCGTTCCTTTTTCCTATACTTTGTAGTTCGGAATCCGGATCCCTGCATGGAGTGATGAAGTCTCTGTATCTCCGAAATAAACAAGGCAATTTAACCAAGCGAGAGGCTGATTATAAGCTCAAAGTGTCATTTTGGGATTCCTGAGGCCGAAAGGTCAGAGTGCAAAATTCCGTTATGGTTTGGGACCTTGATGCTATCATGCTGTTACTACAAACGGCGATTGCGGCGGGAAGCCGCATCTCAACGACACACTGACGGTGAGTCCAAGGACCTGTAGAGTTGGAGATGATATTTCCAAGCTCACATAACTTTAATGAACAGAAACAAAGGTACAACTTCTGATTAATCTCGTTCTCAGCCCACTTGCTGCGCTTCCGACGCGTCTATCGTGCTCGCTTGCGCTTGAAGTCGTGATCTCTCAGCGCTAGTGCGTTTGTCAAGGTCTTTCTGACTCACCTTCGACCTCAATACGTACTCCCCAAACCATCTATCTTCCATACCGCAACGGATTTACAGCAATGTCTTCACATACGGGTCCCGCCTACAGGTCCGACTGAGTCTCTGTCCTGCGGGAGTCGCTCTTTACAAGATTGCTTTCATATCTGGCCATGGAGCCTTCTGCCCCTCGGCTTTCTCCCACTCTCATTCACATATTCGCAGCATGCAAACGAGCCATACGACATGGCTGTCTCGTGCAGTATGATCAACCTCACTATCACGGGTCGCCTCGAGCGGTAAGTGATTCTGCCACGGTTTCCTATCCATGCGTGAGCTCCTGCTAATCTTGCTCTCAGTCTCTAGAAGCTTGATGTGGTATGAAGCAGGTCCGTACGTCCATCGATCACTACTGCCCTCCTTCCCCTTCCGGTCATTATGATGAACACATTTTATTGTCACTCCTATGCTGTGATACCAGCTATGATGATGAACTGAGCGTCTGAATGACAAAACCGTCTGTTTTCCGCGTATAAAGTTATATACTCGGAGATATCTGCTGACAATATACTTTCTCAAGGGATGTTTCTTGAGGTGACTTGACTGTCAAACGGCGGCAACGGCACAGAAAGCTACGAGGGGGGGGGGGATACGAGACTCGGCATCTTAACAAAGTCAGTCTGCCAGTCGGAAATCAAAGGGCTGAGTATAGATCTACTCCAAACCGTTCCCCCAGCACGGGTCGATAATCACCCAAGTAAGTCATGCACTAGCTCCGCAGGCGATCACATCCATTAAGCTTCCACAGTTTGAGCTTGGCTTTTCTCGCAACTAGAAACTTTCACTGGTACATTTCAGCAAGTTGACCTCGGATTTCTAGAGAAACTTCACCCTTATCCTCGGTCGGCAACTGGCACACTCTCTCTTCTCCTTAACGCTGGTCTTGGTATAACGATCAACCAGTCCATCTTTACTCGTGTTTCGATGCTATAAAAAGAAGCTGCAAGCAAAAAATCTCCTAAACCAAACCAGTCGTCACAGCACAGTGGATGTCTCAAAAGTTGTGGGGGTACGCTAGCGGACACACATCCAGAACTTCTCAGAGCTGGACTTGATCCTGGAAGCGAATGAAGTGAGTATTCTACCCAGAAACTCCACGGAAATATTCTCCGTGATGGCTATCAAGCAGCAATCTGAAATTCCGTACGCCGGATCTTCAACCTACATACCCCAAATGCAAGTACCTCCACGCTCTTTCCTATTACATCCTTGCACATCACCATGATGAAACATGATTGCATCTATCTCGTACTTGCGTTGCAGATATGAAGAAATACAAGGGATTTTCTGAGAGGCAGAATTGCCTTACGAGACCGCGATCCACATCTCTTAATCAGCTCGGCTGACCGATGAACAGAAATGATTTACAAGTCCAAATTCGATACTCCTTTGCAGATGAGGATAAATTTTATCACCCACACATATGCCCGCACTCGCACATCATTTCTTGAACAAGAAATGCAAGATACCGAGAAAATTATCCAAACATCGATTGCATTGCTAACACGCATGCGGGACCCCTTGAAGGGCCGGCAAGAGATTCCCGATTCAGTGACCTCTTCCCCGATCATTTCTTGCATTTTGACAGTACCATCGTGCTTCTCGTATGATTCAATTACAGCTGTACATGCACAAAATTGAAAATCGTTTCTGAGCAAGCTCCTCCCTCCATCTCTGTGTTCAATCACGCCACTTGTTGACTCTGCAACCGTCAACGAACATACAGGATACTGCGTCAAAGGTCAGAAGATGGTATGTATCTCCTGTCTGCTTCCCGTTCTACTTGTATAGCTATAATGGCATAAGGCATTAGTCCAATCCTGCACGGCAGATGTGGATGAAATTCGACGATCGATTCTGAGCAGATCATACTTGACTATTTTCAACTCTCGAGCTCTCCCTTGCTGGAAACTATGCTGACAAGATGAATCGACAGGTGTTTCGACTCCGTGAGCGAGATTTGAGAGGCGGACGATAGAAATAAATACCTTTGAACAGCATCATCCAGGCATCCGCAGCACCAGTTCGGACCGAGCGAGCGAGCAAGCAATTCATTCTCAAACAGGGCCAACAGTGCAGACATATTGCCCGTCTCGATGATCAGCAATACCCCAGGCAGATTATATCTCAGCTCTGATCCAGCAACACCTCTACTCTCAAAACCAACTTTGAACTACACCCGGTAACCTCCCCCACCCACTCTCCTCTTTTCTTATCCACACCTAGCCAACTTTCCGCTTTCTTGCAATGATGACCTACCAATTATGAGTAAAAAATCCAATACTGCACAGCAGATGATGCGGATAACAAACGATACTTTCTGAGCAATACCCCTTCCCCGTTCCCCACTTCACAGGCGCACCTGAGTCTTTGTTTACTTTCCTCGCTAACGAGCTGGGCACAGCATCAATGACCTCTCATTCAATCCCATCATCCTAGACCACCCCGAAATCGACGTACAGGAAATGCGGTGTAATTAATTACTATCCTGCTTTCTCTGGAACTCTGCCCTGCGCTGCGATGCCCACGGCGACTTGGATGGGAGATGTCTGCAGACCATTCCGGCCCCGAAAAACTCTATTACCAAGCTTAAAGTGCTGCTCTCGCACGAAAGGCATGGGAGTCAGGACCCACCCCGACTTTTGACATCGATTTCACATCCAGGCTGTCCGTCCATCTTCCTACCTACCAAACTTGACACGATATTAAAATGACCATCCATCTTCAACAGCCCGCTCCTTTTTTTATTCCACCAGTCCTCACCTCAAACTCGCTACATAGGCAGACGTAAAGGATCCATTCGTTCGGGTTTGGAGATTGATAAGTAAGGTAAGTAAGTATCTTCTGCCTAGTACCACCCCCTCCTTCATTCCTTCCTTCCCTCCGTTCCCCTCCGGCTACCGGCATTTCTCCACCATTCTCTTCAAGATAGGGTACATGATGCGTAGAAAGCAAGTTAGCTGCTGATAGAGCTACTTACTTACCCTAGGTACCTACCTACCTACCTACCTACCTAGATTGCTACGGACGGAGTACATAGACGACCTCGTTCTTCTTTTCCGGCGAGAACTGTAAACAAAGACCTGCAACCTACTGTCTACAAAACTATAGATTACATACATACTCTTTACCCTGAACTATACTTTACTCTGTCGCATACCATCTACTCTCGGGGCGGCTCTAATAGAATCAGTAAAGCAGAATGAAAATCCCGAAATGGAACTTGGAAGTTCAGGAGTCAGCAAACAGTAAACGCCTTTCCCCCCCCCCTTCCCCCCCTTTCTCCCTCTCCCTCGATACGTTTCGTTTTGTATCTGTATTTATTTATGTCTTCTTATCTCGCGAGCGATTTCGTCATGAAATCGAAGCGATGCTGATACGCCGCTCCCGAAGCGTTGATTGAATGAATGAACAGATTTCTGGTTGTAGTAAGTAAGTGGGAAAGATGGATGTACGTGTGTAAACTGTGCGGGCGCTGGGAGCTGGGACGGGCTATCTGTTCATTCGTTGATGTGTTGATGTTCTATTTTGTAAGAACGCGAGCGAGCCTAAGCTCAGCAGCAGACTTCTGCCGTTAGCGGATTGGGTAGAGCACAGCCAGCTGTGTTGAGTTGAGGGAGCACGAAGTAGGTGGCCTCGCGCAAGCGATTCCTTTGTGTTGTTCAAAAGGCGGTTCGTCTCTTCGATGGTATGTAGAGCTGACTTGACTTGACTTGACTTTGGCTGGCCTGATCCGTGATTCCGCTGTCACTTCACCCATCAACGCATGGCGACCCCGTAGAGAGTCCTGGGAGCAACACCATTCCATTCCGTATGATACAATCCCTCCCCTTTCCTCGTTCGTTCATCACCCGCACGTTACCTCCCATGCCTGCATCTCGCATCCGTCAATCATCCACCAGCAGCATCTATCTAATGCTTCTCCGAAGCCTTGCCGGCATTGGGGTTCCGCGGGTCATTCTTGAATTCATCGCCTGGGAGGGCCTGTCAGCTTCGCTTTCTCTGGAGCTGGAATGCACCCAGGAGGTGGGTGGGTGGAGGAAATGGGAGTGAGGGGGGACTCACTGGCCATCATGGCGTTCTGGGCGGCATTGACGCCGAAGAGGACGATGACGCCTGGATTGCGGTCAGCTGGGGGGGTTTTCTTTTTTCTTGATTGGCGTTCCGTCTCTGGTGGCGCCCAGTTCCTAATGCTTCATGTGCAAGCAGTATTTCCATTCGCAGCCTGCTGATCCTACCCTTTCCATTTATCATGGCGAGCGTGTCTGTCGTCCAATTGCGCATCCGGCGTACGTATTTATGTATGTATGCGTGTATATCCCCAATTTGCAGAAGAAGGGAGAGGAGAGGAGAGGGTAGAGCGTAAGAAGAGCATACCGGCAGCGTAGAACGGGAACATGGTTTTCGCTGCAAATCTTTCCGTCAGCGTACGTGATCCCCGTTCCATTCTTTCGTCCACCGCCAGGGGCCGGAATTTATCAATTGGACATACCGACAGGCACGGGGAACTTCTTGCCAAGGAGGGGAGGCATCTTGGAGTGTGTGCGAGTATATGTGTGTGTTGTGGTGATGGGAGGTGGGAGGTTCGAGGAGGGAGTTGAGGTTGGGCAGAGGATTGAGCTGGGCAGTGCTCCTAGGAAGCTATTGCATCCGCAGAGCCGCATCTATTGCGTACCGTACACTACCTTAGCTAGGGCGGTGATCAGGTGATCTCGAGCTCGACTGGTGGGAATGCGACAGCGCTGCACGACGGGACGCCAGAAGAGGAATAGATCCACAGGTAGTAAGCAGTAAGTCGTAGGCATTACATAGAGGTCGTAGGTGCTGAGGGGAACAGAGGGGAAGCTCGTCGTCGCCCACTCACCCTCTCTCACAATCACAACTCACAATTCACACTCATCACTCACGATTCATACCCGACACGCGCGACGGGAGACGGGCGGAACGGACCAAGGGAACCGAATCAGCTCGTTACGTCAGTGAAGCTCAAGTTTAGCTCTCGCGTATAAACCGGTCCAAAGGATAGGATCTTGCTTGATTCTCCTCCTCCTCTCCTCACAACTTCCACTTTTCCCTCCCTCTCCTCCCTTCCCCTCACATCCTACTCAACAACCCGCCACCCCCCCAACACCCAACACCCATCCGCCAACATGTTCGCCCGGCGCATCACCAAAAGCCCTGCCATCAATGGCTCCGTCAAGAGAGCTTTCACTACCTCCACCCCGTTATGTCGTGCACCCGCCCTCGCCGACATCAATTCCCAAGGTGCCGCCTCCTTCGACGCAAAGCAGAAGCAATTCCGCGAGAAGATGGCCGAGATGAACAAGATGAAGGAGTCCAGTGGTCAGTCTCTGCTTCCTTTCCCCCTGCCCCTCCCCGCTGGCAGGAGAGGGAAAGATACACAGGCTCACAAGCAGCTTGCGCTACAGGTGCCAAAGAAGACGACGCCGCCAAACGTGGACCGCTGGGCACGCTGATCTATGGCACGAAGGAGGGACGCGAGATGGACCGCGAGATTGAGCACAGTTTCAGTCAGGTGCTGTCGCGGGGCAAGTACGTGCATAGTATCGTCTTCCACGAGGTCAAGCCGGACAAGGTCGATGAGTATGTGAAGCTGGTGGGCGAGTGGTACCCGAAGATGGCCGGCATGGAGGAGAACAAGGTGCACCTGGTCGGCAGCTGGAGGACCGAGGTGGGCGATTGTGATACATTTGGTAGGTCCTGATATCCGAACGCCTACTCACCTTACTACGTTTCCCTCTTGCAGCAGGAAATCAGCATGCTAATGAAGGATCCCTCCAGTCCACATCTGGGAATACCAGCGCTACAACGGTTACCACGACTCCCTTCACTCCATTGCCAACCACCCCGACTTCCCCGCCTTCAACCAGAAGCTCAAGTCTCTCATCACATCCAAGAAGACCTCCCTCATGCAAGAATTCTCCTTCTGGCCCACCACCGCGCCCCGCACCCTCGGCGGCGTCTTTGAACTCCGATCCTACACTCTCAAGCCCGGCGGCCTGCTCGAATGGGAGACGCACTGGCGACGTGGACTGAAGGCCAGACGGGAGGTCATGGAGGGAGTTGGTGCGTGGTTTGTGCAGATTGGAGAGCTGAACACGGTGCATCATCTGTGGCAGTTTGCCGACCTGGAGGAGAGGAAAGTGAGGAGAGAGCAGAGCTGGGGGGTTGAGGGGTGGGGAGACACGGTGCACAAGACTGTGCCGCTGATTCAGACTATGAAGAGCCGAGTGCTGGTTCCGATGCCCTGGAGTCCGGTTGCCTGAGCGGTTTACTAGCAGAATATGCATTAGGATTTGGGACAGGGAAAGGGTTGAGCGGGGGCATATGGCATTAGGTATGGTTGAGCACGGCGAATGGAAGGCTGGACTTAGGGAGACGATTTTGTAAGCTACACCTGGAATTTATTCCAAGGCAATATACGATACCAGGGAGCATAACCTTTTTAAGGAGAAGCTGAGCAAGATGAGAGAAAATGAAGTGAAGTGGATGAAATCACGATGAAAAGAGGTCAAAACTGGGGAAATAAATTCCATCATTTTCAAATGCTTTCTTTCGGGCTTTAAAAAGTCCTGGAAAGAATATTTGTTAGTAGACGTAAGTAGACGTAGCCTTTCGTAGGTAGGAAAGTCTCGGATAGGCAATCGATATGATTGACTAGAAAAGCTACAGAAAGAAATCTTTTTCACAAAAAAAAAAAGAAAAAAAAGGCACTTTTTTTAAAAAAAACTCTTGAAGGATCTTAGAGAAATAGGTAGGCAAGAATATTCACTTAAGGCGTTGAGACGCGGGAATGGGAATGGCAGTGGTATAGAGATACCTGCTACCTAGGTAGGTAGCTGAGGAGAAGTACGAGGGAGGTAGGTACCTGAGGATCGGGTGCTTAATCTTTGATAGAGCGCGATGCTATTCTGCCGGCTTTGAGGATGGAGAATATTCATGGAATGATATTGTTATTATGATTAAAAAAAAAAAATTTTATAAAAAAGGAAAGGGGATTCAAAACGAAAGGAGGGAAAGCTCAAGGCTGTGTGGCTAGGTAGGTGTAAGTTCTACAAGCAATTCCGAGGCGTGGGTTTGTTATTATCCCCGTTTTGGAAAATGCTTACTTCCAGGTGTACGCGTCGGTCGCCTTAGGTACCGGATTATTATTGAAAAAATATAGTTTTACGGAGCTAGCGCTAGAGATCGGAGATCCTTTCTTCCAATTGAATTGAATTGAATTCAGGGTAGATGACGGTGATAGGAGGTTTTGGTGGGGATGATAACTGGAGTGAAGATGATGAAGATGATGATGATAGCAGCAATGGAACATAACAATCGGTACCTAACCATAACAGAAGACGAAAAGGTACCGACCGTGAAAAAAAAAAAATCTGTAGAATCGTGACCGTGCTTTTGGATTATCGAAAAGCACGCTTATCATATCAATATCAGAAGCTGATGCAATGCCGGCAGATGGAGTGAAGAGATAAATGGCGATGTAACATTCCTGCTATCCGCGATGCGGAAAGAGAATGAAAAGAGAACGAAAAGGGACGGATGGATATCAATCATATCTGTGTACTCCTTCGTCTCGTCTCTTCTCGATGCGCGTTGATATGGCGCCAAGCCCCAAAGCAAAGAAGATAGGAGCGCCATTCTTATAAGATGAGACTGATATCTCACAGGTGGATGTGAACCCGGTAAATATTCCAGTGAAGTAAAAGCTGAAGCTAGGTAGGTACGGTAGCTTCCTGGTATTCTTGATCTGATTTCCTCGCTGGGAGGGCGATCTAGTTTGGCTAGGTAGGTATTCACCTACCTACTAGGTACATATTTGATCCATGGGGAAAACGGGAGCGAGAAAGTTGCGAATAGTGCCGTAAATAGTTTTCTCTGTACCTGGCTGCGAGAATATGGTAGCAGGTTCTTCATTGACGGATATCCGTTTTGCCTGGGTTTTTGCCTTGCAAAAAGGGGTTGGTTATGGATAGTGTGTTACGAGAGATGGATTTGAGAGGTTGGCTCGCGGAGGGGATGCTGGTGGTTGTTTGAGAGCGTTGGGATTATCTTCATGAAAGGAGATGGTAACTGTGTAGTAGCGTGGAAGGGTATGATAGCAGCAAAGAATTAAGTACCCGACCTAGGTGATAGTGATGAAAGTAGAGTAAGAAGAGGAGCAGTCTTATTAAAAGTACATAAACAGGGAAAGAACGTGCACGCTGGAAAGCAATTGTTACGTCGACTTGAAATGATGCGATATGCTCAGGCAGGAAATGATTGCAGTAGGTAGGTACTTACCGAACGACAAGAGCTCAATTAACCTCTGATTGGTATTCGCTGCTTCGTCTTTTTCTTGAAGAACAACCCCTCTGCAGGTATCTAACGAATGGTACAGTCCGTGAATCAAAAAGATCAATAGAGTTGGCTATTGAATTGACTCTACTTACTTGAAATACCACACGACGTCTAGAAATAGGTATGGGTATACACGGGACATACTCGAGTCACCCATATTAAAATTCCCGAAATTCCCTAGAACGAAAAATCTACATCAATAGTTCAGACAGAAAGCACACGCACGCCATGGTTCCGAATCGGATCCCGAGGACTGATAAAAAAAAGAAAGACCTATCCGATTGGCAAAACAACACAAATACATCGATACCGATATCAGCATGCTATAATAGGTAGATCGGCACAAGAGGGCTGGACGTGGAAGAATGCCTACCTACCTATATCCACCCCGTTTAACAACATTCCAAAATTCAGGCAGAGCAACAAACAGGTTCTGCTAACCAGCTGCTGCAAGCACGCATACTTTATCGAACTTCCACTCTCCAAAAATTCCTGCTGAGCACGTAATGCTTCCAGCACCTTCAAATCTCTCTTCCCATCCAGCTCTTCCGCCTCGCTCCTCCTCAGTCCTCAACCACCTCCCCCATCACACCCCCTAGACACCCCCTCGCAGCAAGTACGCCCCTCTCCAGCGCACCTAGTTTGGCGCCCAGACTAAGCAGGCACGGATCCGCACTACTCTCCACGCAGACCTTCTCCTTCACCCGAACCTCCTCGCCCTTCCACATGTACACGCCTTCCATCTCATCGTGCTCCAGGCGTCGCTGAGCCCCAATCGCATACACGAACCTACTCCCCAATTTGCTCATTTCTACCGCTGGTTCCAGCACCCGGATTGTGAGCAGTAGCGATGTGCTCGAAGGTATCAGAGTCAGACTTAGGTTCGGTGGGAGCGCCGGGGAGAAGTGTTCTGCGGATGTAGGGGAGTGGCTCCATTCTAGACCGCCTGTAGCGGATGTGGAGGCGGAAGTGGGAATCTGCGTGCCGTAGCTAGGATCGGGGGCTTCCTGCACAGCGGGTTTTAACAAGGCGAGCGCTTCGCGGATGATGGAGTGGAGGAGGCGGAGCTGCGAGGAGATGAACTGCGCCGAGTGGCGGTCGCCGGTCCAGCGGGTGATGTCGATGCAGTCCAGGGACTGGTTGAGGAGGGTACGGAGGTGGGAGAGGGTGGGCAAGGGGAGAGGGTTGGTGGGGAGGAGGGAGAGGCTGAGGGCTGGGAGGGTTTTGAGGCGGAGTTGGAGAGACTGTGTTTCTGCATGTTAGCCCATGTTCGAAGTTCGAGAGCCCTGGATCCACGTCTGAAGTTTTGATGAACAATGGAAGATGCATCGAATAGCAGCTTCATAAGGAATACTGGAGGAAGCGGTAATACACACCCCCCTCACGACCCCATCCCCAACCCTCGTAACATGGCCCTTGACATTCTCAGTGCGGGCACTACTCATCACCAGCGTAGAGCCCGGCTCGATAGGCGCCAGCAGCGCATAGCATTCCTCCAGTCCGCTCTTCAGCTCGCACAATTTCTCCTGCAAGGACTCCAGGAGCCAGGAGAGTTCGCGGGCCTACATAAACATTAGCTCTGGCAGCTCAAGGACGAGGCTGGAGAGGGGGACGATGGCAGAAGTGATGGATGGAGGGGGACACATGCGGTGGAAGCATCCTCCTCGATTTTCAACTCCGCGGCAGGGAGAGCAGGCCAGACCGCTGTCGACATTCCGGTACTGGTACTTTGAAGTAGAGGTTGTGAGTAGGTAGGGCATGGAATGGATGAAGCTCAGGCGCAGGCAAGCTCCGATTCTGCCACTGCACACCGCTCCACTATTCGACGAACTTGGAGACACACCGACGCGACTTCCTCTCGCAATTCACGGCTCTACATACCCCTACAGAGCCCTCAATTCCCGTCACAAAAGCCCCTCCAAAGAAAATGGCAAAAGAAGCTTCCAACAAAGCACCCACCAGCACGAAACCAAACCCAGCAAAGCAGCACCATCCTAAACTCCCCAAGCTCCCCTCAAGTACCTCCCCTATCCTCCCCCCGTCTCACCCACCCCCGAACTAACCGCCTCCCACCAGACCAAAAAATCCAAAAACGCCCCCTCCTACACGCCCCCGTCGCCTCCGTCCGGGCATCCTCTCAAACCCCAAAGATTATCTACGTCTCGGCCTCGACGCCCTTCATCAGCACCGTGAAGCGTGTGCGCGCCTACCTCTCTGAAATCGAGTCGCGCGCGTCCGGTCCGCTGTCCATCAACGACGGACCGAGAGAGTTGCTGAAGGGCATACAGAATGGAGTGGGCGGAGGGAGCGCGCGAGGGAAGAGAGGGGAGGAGGTGCTGATCAAGGGGACGGGGAGGGCGATTGAGAAGGTGGTTAGGATGGCGGCGTACTGGGGTAGGCAGAGCGATGTTGTGGTCAGGGTCGGGACGGGGAGCGTGGGTGCTGTGGATGATGTTGTGGCGCGGGGAGACGGTGAGGGAGACGAGGATGCAGAGGATGGGGAGGGGAAGAGTAGGGTCCGGAGGGTTAGTTGTTTGGAGGTGGGTATTAGGTTGCGGTGATGGTTGAGGGTTGGAATGATTGAGTGTCTGTTGGACGATCTCATATGAGGGCTGTTTGGTGAAGAGGCCTCTGGCTCCGGGAGTTGGTGGGCTAGATGGAGAGAGCGGAGGCCAGCAGACGGTACGCCTGGCAGTGGAAGACCACCCACACCAGCAGAAGAGCGAGACTCCGATTTTCCGTAGGCTTGTTGACGGCAGTCAACATATTCAGGGACCACAGGAGAATACAGGCAGATCTAAGACCTGCCTACAACACCGAGGAGCAGATCGTGGCACAGGATCAGCAGATGCCAACACAGATAGCATCTACACATGTGGTTCGTGCTGGCCTCCCTTCAAGCGCTTCGGGAACAGGTCGTGTAAGTACAGAACCAACCCTCCACGGTTAGAGGTAGCTGGTCCCTGCAGTAAGACACAGCCGGATAGCAAACCCGGTCGTCAACGTAGTATAGTCTCCAACCAGCAATAGTCTCAGACGATACTCATAAAAAGCATCGGCCCCTCTCAAACAAACTTCTCTGCTCGTCGAAGACTGTTATGGCTTCCAATTGCCGTACTTTCTCTTATAAGTGCTTGCTCAAAGCTGCATATGGTCCGCAGCAGGCCCAGTTTGGGGCTGTCGTAGGAAGACCGTTCTCGACGCAAATCGGAAAAGTGCCATGTCGCTAGGATTCGCTGGCATGTTGGAGACACAAGTAAATCCATGAAGCACATGAAGCTGCGGAACTTTCGTCTTTTATTACAAACAAGACAGGTACATCCCGCTACACGAACTATTCATAAGTAACGTTACTCTGGAGCGAGATGATTTACTCGCCATTTCTTGAATCTGGTCTATGCCGCGCTGGTTTGGAACTTATATCTTCTCCGACTCTCCGACTCTGGGAGCCAACGTAAAAATCCGCCGAAGCACCCATAGAATACAGAAAACACATGTGTCCTTAATTGCAATGCTCTATCCTCAACCATCCCTGCCGTGTCGCAGAATATCAAAAACTCAGCCTCAGGTTGAAATCCTAGGCGAACCTAAGAGGTGCTCTGCCGGACGGCAATGAGAGTTTAGGGCAGGAACGCTTCTAGTGGCCAATCTGAGCACAGATGTGGCAAATAGTGGTCTTCTCCTTGTCTAGGTATTCTGCCTTCAACTCCGGCTTCAGCAACCAGCATCTCTCAACACGATGACCCTTCTGACCGCAGTGGGTGCACACATTCCTGCCAGTTTCTGGGTAGAAGTTTTCGCACTTTGCCTTGTGCTTCTTGCATAGAGTGCAAGACTCGGGCTGGATACTGGCTGCAGGGTATCTATTGCGAGATCCGAAGTGGTCGACAGCTTGAGTGGCATCGAATACAGACTCGGAAGGAACTTCGGGACGGGTGTGGCTCTTGTCATCTTTTCCTTTTGCTCTGCGGACGGGAGACTCGGAGCTGACTTTGATCGAGCTCGGCTCCCCTGGGGCCGGGAATCCGCTGTCATCCGACTCCGAATAGACCTTCCCGTTTCCCAGTGGTAGACCCAGTCTGGCGTGGTCTTCCTCAGAGATGGCTTGCTTAAATTTCTTGAACATCCACTCCATCAATCGCTCATGGCATCGGACGAGATTCTCTCCGGAAAATTGGCATCCCTCAACCCATTCTCGGTACTCGCCTCCCTGCATTCTGGCCGCAGCAGCGAATTTAAGCATGCTGTCTTGTAGGAGCTGGTCGATGACAGAATGGTAGTTGAGTTGCTCCTCGGCATCCGCAATCTCCCATTCGGCAGTCTTCATTACTGCATAGTAATCGGGACTGACCCCCTCCTCTATCGAATCTTTCTCCCAGTCATAGAGTATGTTTGGGGGAGGGATCATTCCACCATTAAGCACCACAAGAGCCTGAGATTCATGAGTGATGCGTTGAGCTTCCTCCTTGGAATGTTTCAGGTCCTTGATTGTTTCCAGAGCCTCATCGATGACGTGGGCGAGCTTCTTGACCTGTCGGCGACATTTTGTTCGAAAATCTTCGATCTCCTCACGCAGATTGCTGCTTTGCATCATGAGGATAGACATGGTATCAGAAGGGTTCTGAGCGGAGCGCTGCACGAAAGTTAGCAGCTGAATGTGAGACCGTGTACATTAGGGAGGCTACCTCCGCAGGGAGAAGCTTCACTCGATCATCTTGGAGTGACCTGATCGTCACAATAAGAGACTTGTGTTTTCGCCATCCGGGGAATAGGCCTAGGAAGGTGGGCCTGGTCTCCTTCACGAAGTTGGCAACCGGGATTGAATCGGCTGCCCTGTGGACGGATTGGAGCTCCATGGCTGTCGCTCGTTTCGCGACAAGAACGAGGTTGAGGACTGAACAATATATGACAGTACATGTTAGATTGGCAGCACATTTGAGGATTTTGAGAAATTTCTAAAGATTCGAGATAATAGGAGAGAACGTGTGAGTAGAGTGGTGAAAGCATTCAACCTTGCGACGACTTGTAGAGTCAAGGACACTGGGGCCCCAGCATCGTTGCCTCTCGAGCATGATGCCGAGCGTGCGCGGTGAAATTAGGCTGCGGTGATGAGACAGAAGAGAGGTGATGATACAGATATAGACGGGAGAAGAAGATAACAACCTCCAAGGAAGATGTAGATCAGAGAGAAAGGCGAAGAGGCGTGGAACTTTCACTTCAACGCCTCCTCAACTGAAACCCTCACCCCGCTGCTTGGAAAGGTCGAAAACTGGACGGGTCAATGAGTTGAAAAGGTCAGCTGGCTGCTTCGAGGCCTGGAATCGTCAATGAAGTGCTCCCAGAAGGTTGGAATGGTCACTCTTACCTATGGATGATTCCGTGAAGCTCGAGTTGTTGTTCTTGTTGTCGTCGAGAAAAAAGGAAATTTGAGGATCGAAGGGTGCGGGAGGGAGAAGACGTCGGAAGAGAAGACGTCGGAGAAAGAGGTTGTCGGTAGGGAGATCTAGCTGCCTTGATCCTAGTCTCACTAGCGCCGTTGATACCCACCCGCTCCTTCCTTCTTTATGGTGCCAGGTCGGTCGGTGGTCGGTGAACAAAAGTATAAGGACCGCGGGGCCATCACGTCATAGTGCTATTGATGCTAAGAGCACCTACTAAGACCCGGTAGGGCAGGTAGTCGGTTCACGTACGGGGGACAAACTTAACTTTTTCACTTCCGGCCACTGTCTATAATAAGTTTCTCAAGGTGTGCAATACGCTCACGAACATAATCAGAGTTGGAGATTTACATCATCCTATGTTCAAGATGCTTGATCCTTTCTATCTATCTACTGGACGGACTACTTTGGGACTATTTGGGAGTACCGGCATCACATCATCGTGTCTCTCGACTAATCTATAGACATATCCGATATATACACGCACGCAAAAGCCCTCTAGCTAGCTAGCAAGACTCTATTGCTCAACCTCGCTTCTATCCCAGCATCAACTTGACTTATAAGCGAGCGTCTTGTGTGCTATCCTAGACAGCGGATTCAATAAGCAGCACCCAAGAGCTTGCCTGGGACACAGGGCTTTTGTAAGTAGAGAATCCATTGTTTGATCCACCCATATTGCTAAAGATCTAGGCATCTCCTATCCCAGTTCCCCTCGGGAAAAGAAAGAGGCTGTTGATCACAACCATGAAACTAGCTATAACAACCCGGAAACCGACCACCACCGAAAGCCCAGTTACCATGACCAACGCCTCCGAGTCTTCCGTGTCGGACGAGCACCAGCTACCTGCCCTTCCTCGCGAGCTACTCGGGCAGTAGTTAGTCAGCAGTAGTAGTAAGCTCGGCAGCTACAGACAGATACAGGCACAGGTACAGGTACACACTCGCCCCCTCGATACCCCAGACGAACGAACTTACCGGCAGCAGCATCAACAACACAGCTCTCTACGCTCCGCTCCAAGAACGCAAGATCCGCCTGATCCCACCCGCTCTTCCCCCTCCAACGGGCCGCCATCAGCTGACCGAGCGCGTGGGCCTGCGCCGCGCTGAGCTTCTTCCTTGCCACGAGGGTAGACAGGTACTGCTTCATGGACAGCACCACCCACACGTTGTTCTCGGCCTTCAGGGACGCCACTGCGGCCTGAAGGCGGGCGATCGTGGCGTCGCGGTCGGCGAGGCTGGCCGTGAGCTTGCTGATGACTTGCATCGCTTTGGCTAGGCTGGACTCGGGGCCGGCGGGCATGTTGTTGCTTTCCGCCGAGGCCTTGCTCGTGGTGGATGACTCCTGGCCGATGATGAGGAGGGGGCTGGATTCGAAGTTGGGCATTCGGGGCGTGGTGATCGTAGCCGAACTGTCTGTGCTGGAGGAAGTGGACGACATGTGGACTGATGCTCGCTCAAGACGTGACTATTGTATGAGGAAGCTTGCTTGGTATCGATATCGAAAAGAGGAAGAGATGAAGTCGTATTTTCTCAACTCGTGTAAGTCGCTGGTTTTGATGTAAGTAGACAGAGCGGCGCTTTACTTGGAAGGAACATGATAAATTTCTGAGTATACCACCAACGAGCTAACATTGTTCATATTGTTCACCTTTACAGCTTGCACTATACCGGACTTCCGAAAGCGCACGATAATTCAGAATCACATCTCCCTTTGCGATAGATCATCGCTCATTTCACTACCAGCCACTCTGGCTACGATAACCAGGATCGCATAGAATTACCCAGGCCATTGTCAAGTGAATAGGTAAGCCTTGAAGCACGAATGAATACATGGTTGAAGAATCTGTAAATGGCTTTCACTTTATGTACTATCATTGTGCAAGACGTATCCACGATCTAGACTATGGAGACGACTTTCCAGATGTGGAACTGTTTTTGGACTCGGGAGGCCATGGCTGGGACGAACCATGGGGGTTGCAGAGTGGTGGTGAGGCTGGGTACAGTACACACACGCCCGAATCAATCCTGCCGACTCGAATACCGATGGAACGAGGAGGGTTAGGCGATGGACTGCCGTTGTCCATGAGCTGCTAGGCCTTGAGCGATCTCTAGGGGCCGTCTGCGCGCGTTAGTTACCGTCGCTATACCGAGGAGCCGCATTCCAAGCACTCGAGTGCGTTCTCGGTATGAAGCCAGAAGAAGATGGGTCCGCTAGGCTCAGCGGCTGAGGTCCTGCGCGTAGCCAGCCCTAACTTGCCGCGAGAAGACAGTTCCTTCTGGCTTGGAACTCTTGTCTCATCTCGTGCTACTTCCTTCCGCCCATCATCCGCTTCTCGAGTGGCCGCTGGCGTCGATGCCAAACAAGCAAAACATCTCACGAGCCTTCTCGATCGAGCTTAGCTTTTGAAGGCTCGGTTCTCGGCCTGGATGAAGCCTGGGGGGGGGGAAGGGAGGGGTTGGAAGATATCTCGCATGCGATCCGGTCGGAAAGAAGACTTGAGAAGAGCCTGTTTATCCACGACGGTTCGCCGCGCTTGGTCACCTCGGCAGTCGGCTCCCTATACTTGATCTCAAGCTCTTTAAGTAAGCTGAGCGTTGAGACGGGCAACTGTGACTTGGAGAGTGATGAATGAGGCTGGATAGGCAAACATCAAGAGGCTTGATGTCCAGAAAGAAGTAAGGTTACGTGCAAAAGGCTCGACACTGGTAGAGGGGTTCGATGGACCTTCAGTCTTGGAGAGGGGGGCGTCGACGTCAGTAGCACACATCTTCTCCGTCGAGTAGTCGAGTGTTCTGTTAGCTCGACGGGTGGGCAGGTTTCTAATGCCAGCGGCAGATAGTTTATCGAGTGGGGAGTCCTTTGGTGTGCATTTCTTGACGGGGGTGCTTATCGAGGAGAGGAAGGCGAAGACATCTTTCTGTGATGATATCGAAAGCTCTTGAGCGTCGAAGACTTTGTGCCAAAGGAAAGCTCGAAGACCCCTGCTAGAGGTGCTATGATTTCTAGAGAATAGCTTCAGAGGTTTTGCAGTAAAAAGAAGGGCGGTTATTAAGTATTCGGCGAAATCTTCATTCGAGTTCACTAGCCGCCTGTTGACCTTTGTAGACCCTACACCAAACAATTTGGATAAAGAAGCATTTCAATAGCTTTTCTTCCTAGCCAGAGTCTCGTATCCCTATCCGGCCGTTTCCTTGGTGGACCCTTGCTCGGAAACGAATACGACTAGTTCACTTATCCTTTCTCGATAATAATCTGAATAGAATCCCATGGGACAATCTCTTGGCACAATCAGTCGACGGTTTCGAATACTTGAATACCATACAGGCTCTCTACGAGCATTCCATCAGTTCAGCAATGATCCGCAGTTGCTCCTCAGGACGCCAGGGACAGGTCCTGTTAAAGATTTAAGCCGCGTACCGAGAAGTAGGGTAGGATGCAACTTGCAGACCGGGCAGCAAGAACATGGGATAAGGCCATGATCATGGAGGGACGGAGGAGCGTGTCGATATTCTTTAACGTGGATTACACCAGACGAAAGGGGTGGGAAACGGCCCGTACTCTTCTATGTCCAGACTGCCTAATCTTTGGGAGCAAGACGCTTAAGGAGCGAGTAGCCTTTGAGACGAGGGCCCATGTCACAGTTTCAAGAAGGGGGAATACATCGGGTTGCAAAGATATTGGGAGTTTTGTAAGGTATGCTATTCTAGCATCTAATACCTTTCCTCCGTTCGGTCACAGTGAAAGTAGCTACGTACGCAAGGCAGCATCATCTTTCCCTGATAGCGTCTCAGCACGGGTGGATAGAAAGCGTCTGCAGGAAGACTAGGGCCTATATCACAGTTTCAAGACGAAGGAATACATCTGGTTGCAAAGAGATTGAGAGTTTTATAAAGTATGCTATTCTAGCATCTAATACGTTTCCTCCGTTCGGTCACAGTGAAAGTAGCTACGTACGCAAGGCAGCATCATCTTTCCTTAATAGCGTCTCAGCACGGATAGATAGAAAGGGTCGCAGGAAGTCTAAGCTAGAGTGACTCAGAAAGAAGACGGGCCGATCATTTATAAAGTCCTTAGGTATACAGATAGTGGCCCTGTCCACTTGGCTTCGCGAGAGCCTCCAGCGCGGTGTCCTGGTACGTGACGACCTTCTCCTTGAACCCGGGCAACTCCTTTCCAAAGTAAGAATCTTTGCCTTTTGCGCGGCGATCGTCGTCCTTTATGCGCACAGTTGCTGCGGGTAATATCTCTCTCTCCACATCTTTGATGCAGATACGCTCTTTCTTTAAGCAAGAACCTTTGCGCGGCAATCGTCGTCCTTTATGCGCATAGTTGCTACAAGTAATATCTCTCTCTCCACATCTTTGATGCAGACACGCTCCCTCTCTGAGCAAGAAGCTCTGCCCGGCGATCTCGTCGTCCTTCATGCGCACAGCGCACAGTTGCTGCAGATAGTATCTCTCTCCCTCTGCATCCCAAGCTCAGGCACGCTCTTTGCATAACCTGACGAAGTGAAGTCGGGTCACTAAGAGCATCTCCTACTTCGTGATGTACTTCTTGATGTGGTGATGTTTTTGTAACGTTACCGCGAGAAACAGAGGCTGGAGAGATCAGCACGGCGAGGCAGGAAATTGTTATCGGCCGGACATATACTGTAAGGAGCTAGACCTTGAGCAGCTGGACCTCTGAGGAGCTAGGCCTCACTGGAGAATACTTTCCGATATTCGCCGCCGAATCGAGATTTCAATCTCAACTGATAGCTCCAAGGCAGAACTACCAACTTGATCAAGTCTATCTTATCCCATCTGACATTCCACCACCATGACAGTTTACAAACCAACATCTTCCAGCACAATAAGTACACCAACCAAGACAACCACTCTCCACAATGAATCCCCGAAACTCCATCTAAGCATTCACAAACCCATCTCGCAAATCTCCCAGCCATGCTAGACCCCTTCCTCCTACGTTCCACCAAGCCTTTGTTTTCTTTGAACCTCGGCTAATCTCTTGGCACATTCACCTCCCCTATCTACCTAGCTACTCAGCCAACCTACATCTCCACCTACCTATCCTCTCCCATCCCCAACCATACCAAGCCAGAACCGACCATAAAAAGCATTCCTAAACCTACTGTACAAGAGAAAGAGGTATTCGTGTGCGATCCTTCCAGCGGCTTAAATCCAGCGACGTCTATGTACACGCGAACCAAGCGGAGCAAGGCAAGTGAGAAAAAAACCCCCCTAACCCAGCTCAGGACTCACTCACTCACTCCCATTCCCACTCCCACTCCCACTCCCACTCCCACAACCTAACCTAACCTAAGGTAACCTAACCTCTGCTGGCACGCATCTTCGCCCTACCCTGCCCTCAAACACACACACACACACACACACACACACACGCACGCACGCAGACGAGATCTCCGTAGCATAACCTAAAAAA